TCCGGTAGAACTTGGTAAAAGGGCCCCGACTCTTTTCAGAATTAGAGTTCGACCGCAGCTGCCCCTTTTTTGGGGGGATCAAGTTCCTTGCCAACTATCGACCCCGATTCTCGCCGGGAGAACGACGGCATAACAGGCTGCCCCGTGTTCTCATCGATGTAATCCTCCAGGATCTTGTTGAGCTCCATAGCCATGTTGTGAAAGATATAGCAGATGCACTCCGGCATAAACCGGAGATTAGCAGACTCACCCCAGATTAACAGATAGAGTCCGACGTAGAGAAGCTCCCGGCGGTGGTCACCGGAGCTCCGACCCGAGATCCATATATTCGATTTCTTACCTATATAGGAGCACCAGTTGGTGTAGTTGAGAAGAAGTTTCCGGCGGAACTTCCGAAGAACCCCCGGGTCCAGCGAGTCGATGTTATCCGGTGGAGGAGACAGCCGCATCTGAGCATTGGCTAGATGAAGAACAAGATGCTCCCGTTGATTCCGAACGTTATCCTTCTGAAAACCGAAAAAGAGGGCTAACCAGTCCAGAAGATCATAGTGAGGCCGCCATTGCGCGTAAGGAGGCCGACGGAGTTCTCCGACTGCTCGTAGAGCTGCTGCGGCGGCGCGTACCTCCGGGAAACGGAGAGAAGGGTGATCAGCGAGGAGGTTATGAACGGGAATTATGTTGAATGTCTCCTCCCCCGCGTCATCGCCCGGACCAGGCCGGTTCGAGCCGGGACGGTAACGGAGACTCATAGCAGCATGAGACGGTTAATTTGATTTTGGTTTTGGGGGTTTTTCTCTCTAGTTTGTTGCTTTTTTGGGAGAAGAAGAAGATGAACCAGAGAGAGAAAAAGTGGCGAGTAAAGAGTCGTGCGCGTGTTAGCGCGTTTCTCTTTCCTTCAAAAATATTTTTCATTTTTCATTTTCTTTTTAATTTTTTGAACTTTTCATTTTCTTTTTTACTCAGTCTGAATATTTGAAATTTCTTTATTTCTTTTTAATAATATCAAATAATATAATTAGTTCAAAGTTAGAAAGACTTTATCAAAACTATACACTATATATAATTATATGTATTATTTTTAAAATAATGTCCAACTTGAAATTAAAAAATATGAAAATTAGTTATTAAATTAAATTTATTTTTAATATTATATATATAATATTTAATACTGAAGAATTATATATTTGCTTTTTATAAGAAAAAAATATATATAATTAATTAAATATAGTTTTAAATTTTATATAATAGAGAATAAAATATTTATTTATACTTTTATTTTCATGTTTTATTATTCTTTTATTTTATTATTATTCCTTAGTAGGTAAGTTTTATTTTCCATTAAGAGACTTTTTTAATTTAATAACTTTTATTATTGTGTGACGTAGGACTACCAACATCCCAAGTGGGTAAAAAAAAAAAGAAGGTTCTCTTTAATAATAATTCGTGTTATTAAATTATTATGATTATTATAATTAAAATAATATAATTATTATAAAATATTTATTTTATTTAAAAATATAATAATTTTATTAAAAATTAATTTAATTTAATTACTGGACTCTTAAAATAAATTCTCAATTCTCTGACTGAAATATTTATTATATTCAAGAGATTTAACTTTATTTGATTGTCGTAATTTTAATATTATATTAATAAAATAAATTTTTAATTTTA